GTAGATAGCTCAATTGTCTTTATAGTCTAAAAAAGGCAGTCCGGGTGTTCTTAGAACTAAAGGCGGGAGAATCATGTACAGGCCGATTCAAATAACTCAATATACTCACTTTCTCAGCCATCTATGTATTTGAATGTATTATGTTCCTTTTTAAAAAATTTTCTTCGTTTTATCACCTGCTTCCCAATCATGAATATAATACAAGAAGCCTTAATTTGAATTTGCCACTTTACAGATTGTCTATAACAGAGAGAAGTCCTTTGTATGCCTGTGTTAAATTTTATAATAGTCTACCATCTGATATTCAACAGGAAATACACTAGAGGTTTTAAAAGAAAGGTTTTTCAACACCTAGTTGACATTGAGCCATATACTGTAGTGGAGTGCCTGGCCTATCGTTCCTTTGATCAGCGTATTTAATTTGTAATGTTAATATGTGACGTTATTTGCTCAATTCTATTTAAAAATTTATGCAAATAAAAATTTACTTTACTACTAAAACCCAAATTTTAGGGACTTAAAATGGAAGTACAGTTAAACCTGGATATAACGGACTACTTGGGCGAACGGGGTGTCCGTTAAAGCCGAAAGTCCGTTATATAAAAATATGTTTAAAATAAATTAAAAAACTTTTTATTGGCATATTATATACTTCATTTTTGGCAGTGTTGTTTTGTCGTCTTCTTCGCTATCTTTACTTTTATCCTCATATTTTAGGTTCGTAACTTCATCTAATATTTCACTTTCAGTCATAATGTCATATCAAGGGTCACCTTCGTCTAGTTCTAGCCATTTGTATGTAAAACATTTTTCTTAGCTACCTGTTCTCCGGTATTATTATGTATTGTCCTACAGACATTAGTCTTCCAACCCTACTAAATATATGTCTGCATCTTTGCCATCAAACAAATTCTTCCAACCTTTTTTTTTATGTTTGCTCTTTCACTTCCATGCTGAAGCAAAATTAAAAATTTTCGATTTTAAATTGTAAGACCTTAAGTTTTGCAAGATACACTGCCCTCTTGTATCTTCTGCATTATCTCCATCGTGCAATACAACCATTACTTGGTTGCCAAAATTATTCCCTGATCCAGGGGTGTTGAATAAGCGATGTTGTATTTTTTGGCAAAAATATGCAGCTAAAGTTGCCATCTTCTGAACATAAAATATTTTCAGCGGGTGAACAAGAGCGTTGTCTAAATTCAATAAACATTATACCTCTTTTGGCGGTATTCCCAATTTCTTCTCTTGAAATTTTAACTGAAGGTACAAATTCTTTCAAAAAAAGTTTTTGAGAATATCTGAGGTGACCCATGCCTTCTTAAGAGCTATAATATGAAACGGCAGATGATGCATTATATCTTTTAAAACTCTAGGTTTACGAGATTTGCCATTACAACAGGAGTCAATATATGCGATCCATCGGCGTTAGTACAAAGTACTGCCGAGATCCTGTCCTTGCTGATTTTTTTCTAAAATTCGATTTTTCGTATTAGGAGGCTGGTGTACTTTCAGTTAAGTATGCCATAAAAGATCAGTTTCATTAGCATTGTAAATCTGAGATTCAAATAGCATTTCGTTTTATTATGTTCTACTAATTTTTGCTTAGATTCTATTTATTTTTTTGATGCACTTGAAGCTTCGCGGTAAATTCTTTTATTCATGGTTCCGTGCCTTTTACAAAAGCGCCAGAGCCGTCCATCACTTGCTATAAATGATATGTCCATATGATTTGCTAATTTACTTACAGCAGATTTCAATTTGACTGCCCGGACTTGGACCCCACTAGAATGTTGTTGGCCGTATCATTTTAAGCTTCTAGTGAAGTCTCACGAGCCAATTTCAGATTTAAACACACGAGCCAAATCTTCCATACTCCAACTTTTGTATAATCTCTAGTTTTTGATTGATTCTTTTACGTTTGTCCATATTTAAAGGGTAGGCAGCGGGGTAAACATCCATATAATCATAGAAGCCTGTACATTATTATATCAGTGAATTCCTTAATAATATGTGATGTTCTCACTTTCTGCATGTCAAATGTGTAAATTTATATCTCATGTGTGTAGATACATATTTAAATATATACATATTGCTATTAGAAATGTATCCTTTTATGCTATTTTTTACATTTGACCGGATTTTTTGTCCGTTCTATCGAGGTTTTACTGTAATAATAGATCAAATTTAAATTTAATCTATTCTTCAACTAAAAGTATGAATAAAATAGTGCATATTATGTCTATGGTTGTCATAAATAAATTAAACTGGGTTTATTTTCCTATGCACATCAGATAAAATGTATCTTTGACAAGCAGAGTGGATATTCTGATTGTTTATTATTCTGTATCATAACTTACTATTCCCCATAAACCACAGTGAAACACCCAGTATATATCATGCCTAGTTTTTTACTTTCAAGACTGACAGAACTTGTACTTTTTAACTGCAAAAAGTAGATTTGTACACATTAAAATGTGAATATTATACAATTGATAATTATGTCACTAATTTACAGCATTGTGTATAAAGCTATATTGAACATGTATACCAAATTTCACAATTCTGAGCGATTTGGTTACATAATTATTTGGTTTTTACTTTATCCTGTAAAATTTACTTCTACGCAGATATTTCCTTTTTGTAGTTCATATGCAATAAGAATTCTAGACTGCAATAACGTGTTAAGGCTGTTTTCGCAGTTATAGCATACTGCGATTTGAAGTGGGCGTATCACTTACTTTTCTACACTGCTATGTCAGACCCTACGTGACTTCCTAATAGCGTTCTAATAGTTTGGATGTTTATTCAGTGGCGCCGGCCCACGGGTTGTTTAAAATAAATGCATTATTCTCCATTCAAATTAGTTTTGTCGGAATACTTTTTTTTAGATTAATTATCGTAGATAATGTTTTAAAAAGAAATAATGACATTTTTAATTTATATGTCTTAGCTAAACATAGTATTAAACAAAAATTTGTGAAACGTGACTGCAAAAAACACCATGGTGTTTATTTATAATAAATTTAAATTTTGTTATATTAATATATAATTAATATTTTGTTAATATTTGTTAGAGAAAACTGATATTAGCGTAATAAAAATTAAACAAAAAATATTTTATTTATCTATAAAAAATTGGTACCCGCGAAACCATCATAATAGTAAATGTATTTATCTGGCAAGTATTTCGAGGCGACGCACTGCGAGGAAAAAGTTCTCTGAATGGAATATACATTATTTTAATATATTTATAGGTTGCAGTTACATAAGAAAAGTATCCAATTGATGAATAAAACACAAATCGTGGATAGTTATTTCATCATATCAGTGGCATTTCAGCTCGTCATGAGCCAAAGGCTTCTTCAGAACAATCTTCCATTCGCCCCTGCCTCTGGCAACTTTCTCCATGCTTTAACTCTGATGGATTTTAGATCATCCTCTATGTTATCTTCATACCTAAGTTTTGGTCTTCCTCTGGATCGTCTTCCCACTGGTCCTCTTCGGTCGAAAATTTTTTCTGATCGTTTCATCTTCATCTCGCCTAATTACATGTCCTATCCATCAAAGGCGTACTAATTTAATAAATTTTACAACGTCAGGTACTACACCTGAAGAAGCATCGTAGTTTACTTTATACGATCTTTTTGACCAAGCACCATCAGCTGTAACGGTTATTAACTCATTTCCGTCGGAATGTACTTCACCAATTTCTTTGGCTAAAGCTAATTCCTCCCGTCCAGCCTCTTCTAAGGAATCACAAAGTGTTTGGCCGATGATATCTGCAACTGTTTCCGTATGTTTTGCATACTGCCTGTAGGAAATCACAGGTATATTTAATGCAGCGTGCTGCTGCTGTATGTCTGCATAACCAGAACCATTCAAGTTCAGTGAATTGTTACCAGAATCCTATGTTGCTATCTCCTTTTCAATATTCCACATTTGACATTTAAAAGTCAATGTACTTATCAATCCGTCCATTTTTTCTTTGATAATCTCCATATTAGAAAAGTTGCATGAAGTTAAATAAAAGCTTTTAAAAAACGGTTGTAATATAAATAATAAATACTAAAGCAGTGCAATTGCTCTCCTTTTCCTTGACATAGGACGTTTACTGGGACTCATTTTTTATCTTGTCTCTTATAACTTATATCACTAACCTAATGTAATACTTAAAAATACGCGTAAACTAAAGAACTTTTAACTTATACCACTAAACTATTAATATATTACTTAACATACACGTAAACTAAATAATTTCAATGTTTTCAAAATAAATAAGAATACTGTAAACTGTAAAAACTAAGCAAGTTGATAAAGAAAATACAAGAATGAAAGAACTAAAATGGATTCTAATTCAAGCGAACTAACTGACCGTACCCATAGAGAAATAAAAATAAGACCGTACCGTACGCTCATGTGATTTGACGTCACTAATGCGATAACGATCAACCTCAGCGACAATGATGAGGAACACGTTTCACTATTAGATTTCAGTATTTTTTAGCAATTTTCTTCAAAGTTTGAATACGCTTTTCTCGATTATTACTGGACACAGAAAGGTGAAAAAAGAATCAACGATTACAGAAAAAAAACTCTTTCAACTGATGGGCGTGAAAAGTTTGGTTATAATAGAACGTTAAACAGTATAATCCAATTTTTCAACAGAAAACTCAAAAAATTAAAAAAAGTAAAACCATCAGTTTAAAGGCAACATAATTTCGTATAACATGTCCAAATTTCGAGACATTTCGTCGGTAAATAACAGAGAAAAAATTTTGGTGCACCGATAAAACAGCCTTAATCAGCACCAGGGACAAGTGCCATACCAGAAACAAAATTGCTACAAAACACTACCAAAAGTGAAAAGGTTAATCAATATAACTACAAGACACTATTTTTGATAAGGTAAAGCAGATAATTCACAATATCTTTCAAATGTAAACAGTTAATATGAAAAAGTATCACCACGAGATAGGAAATAAAATGTATTTGAAAAATGAATTTCATGATGGTATATTAAAAACAAACACAGAAAACTTTTTTAAACAAATATATTGTCAGTTAACCTAAAAATTATTTCTTCTTGGGTGCTGGCTTTTCTTTCTTCGCCTTTTTGCTTGGTTTAGGTTTGTCACCCCCTTTAGCCATCTTCTTTTTACCATAGAGGAAACCGTTTCTTGATGCTGCCTTCCTTAAAGCAAGGAAAGTAGCTGTACGGATGTGGTTTCTTCGTGAACGAGCTCTGCGAAGCTTGAACCGGTCAAGATCTGTGAGTTGTGATCTCTAAAAAAAAAAAAACGAAAATATTAATAATATTTATAAAAACTTTTTTAAGATCAGTTAATTCTGAAGAAGTTCTCAGAAAAACAACTGGCTTCAGATATGTATCAGCCGGCAATTCCTATCACAAATTAGGATCATCATGTATATTTATTTAGTTGATATCCACTTTAAAAATTTAAAAACTAATATAAATTAATCTATAAATATTACCAAACAAAAATTATTTATGAAGTACATTAATCCTTTTTGGCAGTCTTGACATTTACACAAAATTAATTTATTAATAAAGTATTAATTTATTAGTAAAGTATAAAATACTAATCATAAATTAATTAATATTTTAGTAATTAATTAAAAAAGAAAAAATATGAAATTATAACAATAAAAGAGTTATATCAAAACAATAAAATTAAGAATTTAGGTATGTATATCAATTGTTTTTGTAGATTAACGAACAATTACAGATGTCTATCAAAAATGTTTGACAACAAAAGTGGCAAATGAGAAGATCCTTGAATATACCTAATACAATTTAAAATATTCATATCTTTCAATCATCATATTAGGTATCCGATCCCTTTTACCTTTTCATTTTCTTCTTAATGTACCATACTCAAATTTGAGTATAGTCAGCTCCTCTATATATCTGTGTTGAGTATAATCAACCTATACACAAATATATAGAACCTACAATTTAATATTGGAGCTGAACAAGTGAAGGGAACCTGCACTAAACAAATTACAACTTCATATATACAAAAGACAAAAGCACCAATCTTGACAATACTTTTTTATTTTGTAATGGGAACCAAACCCACATTACTTTCAGCATCAAAAGTAGATATACTTGTCTCTGATTAGTTGTCTTTAAGTTCAAATTTTTTGTTTGAGATAGGCGTTTGGTTTAGGTCTCTAATTTGTTTTTCTTTTTCCTACTTTCCTTGAATTTGTAAGTCCAACTATTTATTTGAGATGTTTTCCCAATATCATTCATTCTATTTTGAAAGGTTATCTCATAATCGATCATTATTGCCTTGTGTATTCTTCTCACTTTCAGTTCTGTTAAATTAGCATCTGATCTGTTAGTAAGTTTTATTGTAACATTGGGATAAAAATTGTTTTGTATGTACTTTTTGTTCTGATGTATTAAGTTTATCTAGATTATTGTGTTTATTGATTATACAGTGTTTCCTTAATGAAAATTTTATTATATGCATTAAAAAAAAAAGGTATTGTAGTAATGATAGTTTACCAAATAAATGTTTACCTTTTCCTTTGCTGCTACCTTTTTGGCCCAGACCGACTCATTCCATTTATCGTCAATTTTAGCATCAGACCATGCTTTTCTTACAACACGAGTTGGTGCTGAAAATGGGAATCGAATGCGGAACTTTGTTAAATGCAATTCATTTAATCTAAGTTGTCCTCTAGGTACATTACTGTTGGCCCATCAACCAAAACCTACAAAGTATAAGAGCATTACATGTTTGGACTAGATCTATAGTATATTTTAATTAAAAAATGGCAACTTCAGTATATTATTTAGCTTCAGATATGTATCAGTCGGCAATTCCTATCAATGATTGGGATCATCATATTAAAGTCATATGTTTTTTAAGTTAATACCATTAATATTAAGAATTCACAATGGAAGATATCTTAAGAATTTATTTTATGCCTGTAATTTTTATTACAGGTAACAGATTGTTTAAAATTTAAACAATCCTTTGTTTAAATGTCATACACAGTAATGAAATAGTACTGAAAGACCACAAATCAAACATATATGAAGCCCCTTCCCATATCAGTTGACCCACATATGAAATTTACAGTGATGAGAAATTTTTTTAACCAGTAGATTATTTAATTCTGGAAAATCCAATTTGAAAAAAAGCGAATGTTTCAATATTGTTAAGGTATAATGTAGAAAATATAGTCAAAAGGTACAAAACTATAGATTCGATTGTTACAAAACCTAGAAATATAGGAAAAAATCAAATAACTGAAGCTTATTGAAGGACACTAAGACAAACTATAGTGAAAATTGCAGTGCAACTAATCTAGAGTTAAGTATTTTGTGAAATGACATGGTTGGAAGACACATTTCTAGTGACCCACAAATTGAGATTGAATAAAGTAAGTTATATAGTTGAGTAAACCAGTTCCAAATTGTTTTTTGAAAAATTACATTTTGTTTTAGGCTAATGAAAAGCTAATTTTACCATTACAACAAAAGAAATATAAATTAAAATGATGAGTCTAGAGTTAAGTGTGTGTTGGAGACAGTAAGAGTCACATTATTTGCAGGATAAATAAAGCTTATCTTGACTGTCTAAACAGAAAAGTCAAATTTTCTGTGAAGGTATGTCATGACTGGGAGTAGTATGTTTCGCGAAGGTATGAGAAAGTTACATTTTATCGACAGGATTGTAAGTAAGGACAAATATTTCAAGATATTAGAAGAATATCTTTTTACTGATTATGGAACAATAAGAATATTTTGTCTTCCAACATGACGACACAGGTTGCCTCGCCACAGAAGAGTTTAAAATGGATTTAAAGCTATAAAGGTTGAATAAGAACTGTTGGATAAAATAAATATAAAACGAGGAGTGAGACAAGGCTGTATATTGTCGCCTTTACTTCTTAACTTATATTAGGAGGAAATATTTAAGGAAGCCTTAATGGAGACAACCGAAGGTATTATTGTAAATGGAGTAACCATCAACAATATTAGATATGCTGACGATACCTTAGTGTATTAAAACTCAATGTTAAGAAAACTAAATATATGATAGTTAGCAAACAAAATTATATACAGGATAACAGTATAAAAGTAGGAGATGTCACACTGGATAGAGTAGAGAAACTCATGTATCTCAGCAATAATATCAATGAGAGCTGGGATTCAACCGCATAAATTAAAAGCTGAATAGAACAAGTCCGAGCTGTCTTTGTAAAAATGAGAAACATACTTTGCAGTCTCGATCTTAGCATTGACCTTAGAGTTCGAATGACATCTTGCTACATCCTTCCTGTCCTGCTGTATGGAGTGGAAGCTTGGACTCTAACTGAGACTATCCTTGACAGCCTTTGAGATGTAGATATACAGACGACTACTGAAAATAAGCTGGGTCAACAGGGTTAGAAATGAGGAAGCTTTTAGATGGTTGAACCAAACAACCCAACTGGTCAATATAATAAAGAAACTAGGTCACATTATGAGACCCTGAAAAATATGATCTTTTACATCTGATCATTCAGTGAAAGATCCAAGGTAATCATGGTCCTGGTAGAAAAAGAACATCATTGCTGAAAAATCTAAGGCAATGGTATGGAAAATAAACTACATCATTATTTAGAGCTGCTGTCAATAAAGTCACAATGGCGAATTTGGTAGCCAACATGCTATCCAATGGTCGATAACGGTCATGGAACTAGAAGAAGAAAGATTACGCTAGATTTTGTTTTTGTTCCTAAAATTAAATTATTTCAATCTAATATTGGACCAACTAATACAGGAAGGGGCCCATATGTGGTTTATAGAAATTACAATATCACCGCTAATGTTGGGTTTCCACAGTGAAATAACAGGATTCATGACTTGACCTGTCATGATTGTGAGTAACCTTCTTGGATGTAAATGTGAGTGATGGAGTGTCAGCACTACTCACAACTCGCAATTGGACACTCCCCTGCTCATCACATCAGTTGTGGTGGTTTACATTATAGAATGAATCTCAATAATCAAGCATACTAGCAGTATTATGCATATTTCAGGTTTGAACTTTCAACAGGTTGCACTCCTTGTTTAATTATTGCACCTTCTGAATAGAATCAAAAGAGGAAAAAGGAAAAGGCTTAAGAAAAGCCTTCATGAGGAAAGATATAAATTTCCCAACATAAAAATGCAAAAAGTGATGTGGGTGAATTTTACAAATGCAAGTTGTATTCACTATACAAAGATACTGTGATGTCTCCTAAATTGGGGAGCAAGTTTCTTCTACATAAATATTCTCATTCAGATAAATGAAAGACAGTCAACCTTTCTTGGACAAATTTACAATTAACTCACTGCCAGCTCAAGAAAACTTGATTTGATTATATTGTCACTATACAAAGATACTGTGATGTCTCCTAAATTGGGGAGCAAGTTTCTTCTACATAAATATTCTCATTCAGATAAATGAAAGACAGTCAACCTTTCTTGGACAAATTTACAATTAACTCACTGCCAGCTCAAGAAAACTTGATTTGATTATATTGCTAAAAATGATTTAATTATATTGCAAAAGATCTTTGTCTACTGAATATAATAAAAGGTAACATAAATAATAGAGTTCATCGATGGTAGAAAGGCTACTAGATGACATCTTAGTAATTAGTAATTTTAGAAAAAATTTGACTCAGAAGTCACTCTGTAGGGGCTAAAACACAAAAAAAACTGGAAGAAAAACTGAAAATATTTCATGAATTTGTAAAATTGTACCAGCTTATAATGTTAATTCTAAAATACCTTTTTAAATCTAAGGTGTGGAATCAAATAATCATGTACACATACATATACCTCTACTTTTAAAAGAGCTTAAGCACGATGTGCTTAAAAAATGGATTAACGCAAACGATTCAAATAAGAACAAGAATTATAAGATGCTTAATAATTATAATTTAATTACAAACACATGTGAGAAGTATAACAATGGACAACATGTTAAGTTCCTAACCTATACACAAAAATTAAAAACTTACCCGTGTTTGGTCAATTACGTCTACAATACTAACAAGTTTGCCCTTATGAGGGCCTTCCGATACAACGGCCACGCGGCCGGTTTCTACAAACCTTTGGAAAGGCTGAAATAAAAAAATGTTTTGTTACATACTTGTATTTCAAGTTTGTGTAAACGTATAAGCTTATAATTGGCATCATCCAAACGTTTTTTATGTAAAAATTAACTAGAACTTATTTTAATAAAGTAATTTAATTAAATGGTACTGATTTGTAAATAAAAAAATAAAATATATGAGATAGAACCTCACCATGCTTTACACTAAATGAAAAAGGAAGATGGAGATCACTTACCGGATACAGTTGTTTTGACGTGTACAGTAGTTGAATGCCATAGTTGAGGTTTCCGGGCTGTGTTAAGAAATTATATGGATGTGTATTTTCATAACCGAGGCCAACTAAAAAATCATTTAACTCGATATCAGTTCATTTAACTAGATATCAGTTCATTTAACTCGTTATCAGTTTATTTAATTCGATATCTGATTGTTTACAAAATGTCTGTTCTAGAAAATGGCTGAAATTATTTTTTTTATGAAAAGTCCTATAGACTGAACGTGGTCATAATTGACGTTTTGTTAAACGTCATTGGTCATAACCACAATCTGGCAACTGTTGTCATCAGTTATATGCTTTGTGTGCAATGAAAGTGTGTGGTGTGTGAATTTGCGGCTATTTTCAGCTTGTACTTTCGGTAAACTCAACCTAATTTTCAAAATTTCAAAAGTCAATGTCATGTGTCATCCTAGACTTTTATTGTTATGAGAGGGTGTGAATCTTACAAATCTTAAATTCTAAAAGAAAATTATAATAAATTATTACACACCAGTAAAGAATTCAATATGCAAAGCAATATAGGTTCAAGTAAGTTCTGTTTGTATTTTCTTGACGAAGATCATTGATTTTATAAACATTGTAGGTTTAAATGACCCTGAAGTGCCCTTTCCAAATAAGTATGTCTATATTAAACAAAATTTTATTCTTGATGGTGGACAACAACCATTACCATCAAAAGTGTTAGTTAACCCACATTTTAGCAGAAAAGTATTTGTTAATCCCAATTATAAACCAAACAATATGCCAGCTTCTGTACCAGGAAAGATACATATCAACCCCCACATGGCCAACATGAGCATGCACAAAGAAAATATTTGCAATAAAATTCATGTAAATCCAAAAATGATAAACAGCGTTGGAGCTCCATCAAAATTAGAACCGATCAAACAGCCAATCACATATTCTTCTAAAACTAAGTTGGTAAGAAAACCACTTAAAGAACAACCAAGTCCTTTATCTAAACGAACTAGACGATTATCTGTTTATTCAAAATTAAAATTGTAAAGTCTTCAACACTAAGTAAGCCAGGCGAAATGAAGATAAAGAGTAAACTACTGTTTAATACCAAGTACAAATTAAAAAGAATAAATACAAGCAAGACTGATAAACATTTAATTCCACAAAGTCTTGAACTAAATAAGTACAAACTAGATAGGAGAACAAGATCAGTCAGTAGTTCCAGATCTAGATTTGTTTTTGTTAACAGATTTCTTAGTATTAGTGATATAGCTAAAAAAGTACCTTTGAGAACAAAATGTCTAGTCAATATATCAGGAATTGTCTATAAAAAATCACCAAATAAATTACAGCGAACATCATCATTACTTAAAGACAAAAGGAAACAAATAAAAGATAGTAATGCTTTAAAGAGGAATAAGTTTAAACTTGTCAGACAACCAGAAAACAAATTAGCTTTGGAAAAGAAGAATTCTAGGATTACTTATAGGTAAAACATCATAGTTATTTTTAATGTGTATACAATTTCTTATGTTTCAGATACTCTAGTGGGAAGAATATTTCAATAGAAAAGTTAAAGAAGTGCAACATCCCTTGTCCTTATTATAGAAAATTTGGAAAATGTAAAGGAAAAGAACTGGGAAAATGTCCCAGGAAGCATGATCCTGATCAAATTGCACTGTGTACCAAGTATGTTATTCTTATGGCTTTTTAATTCCTTATGGTGGCACCACACTTTGATATGTGTTATTTGTTAAGCAAAGTTTGTTCAAATAATGGTTTAAGAATAATGATAATTACAATAAAGTTAGGTTAAGATAAATGATCATTGCTTTTGTCACACAGACAATAAAGCATAAAGAAGAAAAAGAGAGGCGACTGCAGACAGGATAACCGTATATTTATCTTTTAATGTGTCTTGTGTCGTAAAAGGCAGTCAGTGGGGGGAGGACCATATACACCCAAACCACACTGACTGTCTAATTTTAACTTATCCTATTTTGTTTTTACACGGTTTTACATTTATACATTATTGTTTGCTGAACAATTTCACTTTCAATTTCCTTTTCCTGTTAATGTTCTCTATCTTTTCCTTCTTCTTTCTTTGGCTTCTTTTCTATCTTTCATTTCATCCTTCCTCCTCTTTCTCTCTTTCTATTTCTTTTTTAATTTCTTTCTCTGTTACTTTAAACTATGTCATGTTTCGTCTGGAGACAGTCAGCAGGGAAGGACCTTTTACATCCGACCTACACAGACTGCCCCATCTAAATGTTAGAATGAATAGATGGATTAGTAGGTGTGTCTAGATGATAGTAAGGAATGACTGGAGTTGAATGAGACTAAGTATAGAATAAGGGGTGGATGAGAAAGAGTGAATAGATGAACGACTGGAGTTATTCGTAACTGCCGACTGAGATCTTAGGGTTGGTTCCATCATGGGTTGGGAAGCGTCCCGACCACCCTCTTTCCCGTCTTCGGTCACTTCACTGTGCGGGGAAGGCGTCCGTGAAGCTGACCAACCCATGGAATTCACGCCGGGGGTGTTAGGGGGAGCTATGAGTAAGGTCGACGGGTCAGACATGCTCGCTAAGAGCGGTTCCAGTCCCGCCGGCTGGAGGAAGAGGAGGTGAGTTTAGTCGTTAGGAGGTCTCGACAGGTGGTACAGCGAGATGGTTAAGATAAATAGCAAGACAACCACTGGTGCAAGTGAAGTATGGGCAGTTGACATATACATTTGGCATGTAGTTGGCTTATTTATGTCCTTTGAAGTGTGTCAAAACACTGACAAGTGGGCTGGTAGGCGTATTTGCTATTCAGGAATTTGCTTATATGTGCGAATAAAGCAAATAATTGATAAATGTACCCTCTACACTACATTTTATGCAGCTGAATATGGCTCATAATAAATAACACTAAGTGTAGTACTGTCAATATAATTATATTTTTTATTTACACAATTCAATCTTAGATATACCTAATTTTGTACAGATAATTTAAATTTGCATATTTTCTAGCCATTTAAAGAAATAGGTGATCTGAGCTTCATCGACAGTATGAAAGCACTATTTATGGATATTAAGTTATTGTACATCTTCCATTTCTTCATGTTATGGCTCTTCTACACATCAGCAGATGTGTCCGTGGACAACATTATAATTTGATCATCTGTTGTTTATATTCCACGTCTGCAAGATATCCGATTGTTGTCGGTTTTTTAAGCACAGATCAAAGGGTTTCAGTGCGGACATCCGATGCCTTTTCATTTTTTTATTGCTTGCTTAGATATTGCGTCTCCCGGGAATTCACACAGACTGAACGATTTACAGATGTGTGGTCAGCTTATGATGATGTAGTGGAAACTTCTCTGTGACTGTTTGTTGATCTACACAGTGTAATGGAAAAACTGCAAAGGATACACCCTTGTTAAATTGTGTGTATAATGAGCATGGTTATATGCAACATAATATACACATAGATTCACAGTGGAACCACTGGGACGTTCAGTAAAAATTTGTTTATGGGTAGTTACACAGCGATACCACTGGGATGAAAAGGATTAAATGTTGGTTATAATGATATTCTTTGCAGGGATCAAATTGTTTACTCCTAATTTTTGTTACTCCAAAGTAATAACAATTAAACAACCTTGTGAAATACAGGATTAGTTTTGTTTTTTTTTTTGACTACAACAATAATATAATGAAATTTTACAGGTTTCTGCAGGGTGCATGTATTGATCCAAAATGTTTGCTCTCCCATAATGTATCACCAGAAAAGATGCCTACATGCAAGTACTACCTGGAAGGATTGTGTTCCAAAGACTGTTGTCCATACCTACATGTAAAAATAAGCCCTAAAGCTGACATTTGCAGAGATTTCTTGGAAGGATTTTGTAAAAAGGCATCACAGGTAATAGCATTGAACCATTTTGTTGAATATATTTTACATATCAGAATTGCATGAATAATTTTAAAAATGAAAAGTAATCAAACAACTGCTGGGGTTTTTCATCTAGACACAAATATGCTTTCTGTTTATTTTCAGAAATCAGTTTACATTTCTATATTACCTTCCCATTAATTCTTGCTGTTTTTAAAAATAAACACTTTGATGTTTCAACTTCCAAATTAAACAATTTTAACAATATATTTTTTAAATCACCCCATAGTCCATTTAACCTTGTAATCTTAATGCAAAATTATTTACTTGGGTATACAAATGATCAAGGCCGTTCGCTCAAGTCGAAGACAGGGCATGGTTCTTTCAATTATATTTATCAAAAGAAAAGGCAAAAAAGTATTTTTGAAGTGTGTATATTTTTTAATAATTCCTAGCTGAGCGCTTTCGGCTTTACAAAGCCATCATCGGAGCTATGTTCAATTTATAAATACCACTACAATGGAGAGATCTCATTTCCTTATTTGTTGAAATTTTGATTTTTTTAATTGCTTAGTTGTTAAAAGTTCTTAAAAAACATACAAAAACCAAGACAGAATTCTGTCTACCTCCTCATAGCAAACAATGGTCAGGTTCTTACACCCGTACCATGACAAAAAAAATTTTTAATGTGTCTGTCAAGTCCAGTGCCGGTTTTTTGTATGTGTTTTAAGAATTTTTAACAACTAAGTAATTAAAAAAAATCAAAATTTCAACAAATAAGGAAATGAGATCTCTCCATTGTAGTGATATTTATAAATTGACCGTAGCTCTGATGATAGCCGAAAGCACTCAGCTAGGAATTATTAAAAAATATACACACTTCAAAAATACTTTTTTGCCCTTTCTTTTGACTTGTCATAAGTGTGTACAAAAAACATATCAGTCTTTTGATTGATTAATTATATTTATTTATGTACAGCTTTAACAGGCCTTTTAGGCCCATTGCTGGATGGATAATTTCAATTGTTTTCTATTCTTAGTTAACCGCTTCCAATCTCTGATGCCCATCTCTCTGACATCTTCCATCACTAAATCTCTCCATTTCTTTCTTGGTCTGCCTCTCTTTTTTTGTCCTCAGGTACTCTCCAAGCAATTTTCTTGACTAGTCTATCACCTTGCATTCTTTCTAGATGACTGAGTCATTCTAGTCTATGTTTTTTCACCACTTTTGTTATTGTAGGGTTAACATACAAATGATACACTTCTGCATTAGTTCGTCTTCTCCATTCTTCCTCTACTCTAATTTTCCACCAAATATTCTGTGAGTATCTTTCTTTCCCATGCTTCCAATGTATTCTGTATGGTTTTGTTCATAGTCCGTGTCTCGGCAGCATATATAATTGTGGGTCTAATTATAGTTTTGTATACTCTTATTTTTGTATTACGAGATATATCTTTGGCCTTAATTATTTTGCTCATGGCTCCAGCACACCTATTGCTCTTGGTCAGTCTCAGGTTGATTTCAGTTTCTGCCTTACATGTCTGATCAATAAGAGTACCTAAGTACATATATTCATCCACCTTCTCGAATTCTACAACTGATCCATCCTCCACCTCCAATTTAAAGGATCCCTGGTGTTTATTCCTTTTTTGCTCGAGATCTCCATGTACTTCGATTTATTAATATTAACTTTCAGTCCCATTTTAGAGCTTTCCCGAATCAGTCTTTTTGTTATATTTGATAGTTCTCTTCCATTTCTTGCAATGAGAACCACATCATAAGCGTATGCCAAGCATTGGTGCTCCTTGTAGAAAATAGTTCCGGACCTATTTATCCCACCAACCCTTACAATTTTTTCTAGAACCATAATGAATAGCAATGTAGACAACGGGTCTCCTTGGCGAACACCTTTTTTCACTTCGAATTCTTCTGAGACTGTACCATTGCATCTCACAGCACAAATGGTTTGTCTAATAGTCATTTTTACCAATATTATTATTTTTTCTGGCTCTTGGAATTCTTTTAGTGTTTCTATTAACTTGTTTCTGTCTATTGTATAGTAGGCAGCTTTGTAATAAATGAAAAGTACTTGTGCTGAAATGTTGTATTCATAGCAATTGATCAGGATTTGTTTTAGTATAAAAATTTGATCGGTTGTTGATCTTCCTTTCCGAAATCCTCCTGGTATTCTCCTAGATTCTTCTATATATATATATATATATATATATATATATATTATATATATATATATATATATATATATATATATTTCTAATCGTTTTTTAATTAGTATGGCGAGTACTTTATAAATTACCTCTAATCAGGATATTCCTCTATAGTTTGCGCATTCAGTTCTATCTCCCATATTCTATATCTTTCAATTATATAGAAGATGTATATTATCATTAAAATGTAATGGACACCATCCTTAAATTTATTCTCGTAAGGAACGAGTTCAACGAGTTCAAAAAATTAAAAAGAAAATTTTAAAACAAAACTATCCTTTTATTTACCCCTAAAACAAACCTATCCTAAACAATGAAATACTGAGAAGAATAGGCAAAGAGAAGGAAATTGAACTTACAATTAAAGAAAGAAAGCTACAGTATCTCGGACATGTGATGCGGGGCGATAAGTATGGCATCCTGCGACTCATAATGCAAGGAAAAATAGATGGCAGAAGAAGCATCGGAAGAAGACGAATTTCATGGCTGAAGAACCTGAGAGAATGGTTTGGATGCAGCTCAAAACAACTATTTAGAGCTACTGTCTCAAAAATTAAGATAGCTATGATGATTGCCAACCTCCGTAGCGGAGATGGCACCTGAAGAAGAAGAATCCTTTTATTATTTTTTGTAATGAACAAAAAAATTATTAAAAGATTCTACGGTAAAAAATTTAATATGAACGAGAAATATATGAAAATAAAATTATACTTGATCCCAAATTTCGAAATTCATTCACATAAAAATAATTTATTAGGTAGAATCTATCTATCTATCTAATTAGCCTTCTTCAGTCCATCTTTGGACATAGGCCTCCCAATCCTTTTCCATTCTTCTCTGTCTGTCGTTACAGTCATCCACCTAGAGCCCACATGCTTCTTGATATCATCTGCCCATCTCATGTACCCAACTGAAATGGGCTTGGACTTTTTGTTTGTTTGTGTTTAAATGACTGCGGACACTAAACCCATTCGCCAATCTTACAATTTGTACTCATTTTTTTATTAGTCATCGTTTCCTATACAATCTTATACTAAATTAATACTAATACTAATCCTACTATTACTAGTATTGATCAATAATATATAGTCTTTTTTTGTATTAATTGTTTTTTAGTTATTTATATATAAAATAAGTGATGAATTCCTCAGAGTTCCACAGTAAACTCTTCTGCAGGGCTTGGACTTAAATAATATTAGTGCCTTAAAAAGTATAATTATTAGGAATAGTATTTGGCTTTCCACAAAGCCTCCTACTATAAGCTTGTATGAAAATCCGCAGTGTTTTAAAAGTTTCTACAAACTTGTATTAGAAGCGTTATGTACAAAATTTCAAATTGCTCTTTTTTTGTAGATTTATATTAATGATTAGATTTCTTTCAAGTTGAGAATTGAAGTCACATCATTGCCAATTACACATTTATTAAGTGATCGTATTAAATTTATTTATGAATTAGCTATTTTGTGATTTTCATATGTAGGGGAGACTGTTTTACCTTGGACCAGTTTTTGGGTTTTGTTCCTTTAAATACTCTGCTATTGATTGTTGCCATTATTAAGCATTCAAGACAGTACCTTTTCTTACGTCGAGAACGGTTTTATAAAAATTAAATTCTATATTAGTTGTTTTTTATAAAATTTGAAAAATTATGTGCACCATGGATCATGATGCTTTTTGAGACAAACTTCTTGTACCATAAGATGTTTAGAAAAAGGTAACAAAGGTGAAATAACGGTTTTGGCGAATATTATGTTCCCTGTAACAAAGTTAGCTTAAACAATTAAACATAGTGGAAGTCGCAAACATGTATTCCAAGCACTTCCTTCAACCCCGGCACAGAGGTAGTGAGTCCATCGGCCACAAAAGATGCATCTATACCATTTTTATCCACTGTTATCAGAAACCTTCGAGTTATTGCAGTTAACGCATTCTTCGTTTACACTGTCTTTACTGCCACTAGAAGCAATTGATAATACTTCATCGTCATCTCTATCAGAAGACTAGGCAATTAATTTCTGTTTTGTTTTGGCTTTTGTACATATGGGTCTTTCTTGTTCATGCTTTTTCTTTTCTTCTTTTATAGCATTTTTCTCTGGAGTGTCTGTAGCTATCGTGGTTTTACCTGGTTTTGTTCCACAAGCTTTCCTTTTCTTTGCCTCTGTCATAAGGTAAGGCTGAACTTGTTCCGATAAATCTTTTATATAGAACTTTGTCTATAGAAATTCAGGTTCTTTACTTTCGTGAGTAGAATTCGTTGTATTACAAAACAGGAACTGAATGACTTGTGTCACCTGAAGTTCACGCAACTGAAACAAAAACATGTGGAGTGGGTAAGCTGTTCTTTCGAAGGTCCTAAAACATTACCAAGCGGCTAGCTTGTATTACCCAAACGCACTGCAGGAGAAGCAACAGAATCAGCTGTTTCACTTGAAGTCCTACTTCTGATGTGGTGTCTATTGAAGCTGGAAGGGGTGAGATTGTCGAGCGAGTGAGATAAGAAGCTAAGAAATCGGCGTCTGAAAACACCCCTTCATTAAAGGGGTAGGTTTCAGATTTACGAAATATCATTGCTGGACGTAAATGTTCGAGGGTAAGCCGCTCCAAAAGCTTCACCAACTGTGTATATATCAAATATTTTCCCTGCATTGTGGATCAACCACGCTTCAACCGCTTGGTTGTAATAGGTTTAAGAGGTGAATAGACTGAAAGGTCCAGCGGCTGAAGCTTATGGCTGCTGTGGGGAGGAAACGTAACCATCACTACTCCTGCATCAGACACCTTGTCAAAGGTTTCTGGAGAAAGGT